CTTTGAGTTTTTCAAAATCATAACACTGTAAGGCGTCCACCTGTCTAAGACGGCCACTTTCATCCTGAGCAATGAGCGGTCGCCTTAGAAAATTTCGGCTGTATTTCAATTGGTCCGAAAGCATTTGAGCTATTTGTGTTCAAACATTTGTCCATAAATCAACGGAAAAGTGTATAGACTAGTAATAACATTTTAAAAAACCTTCGCACACTCCTGTCAAACTTTTCAAAAGGACTCCGGAACTTCCCTGTCAAAATAGTAAATAGCCACCCGGTCAAGTTAACGAAGCCACTGCAAACGTCTCAGACCTCATACGATAGCGATCTCACACATATTCAGGGCAAATCGGTTTCCTTACATATAAATGGAGCCTGTCAGAAATATGAATAATCCGTCCACGTTGTATAGATCGAGTGGTCACGAGCGTTCTCTATCCACAGACGCCCACTCCAAGTTCGAAACAGAGCAGCACAATTCGTTTTTACAACAAACAGTAACAATAATACTATCTCGATCAATCCTCAAGCCCGGGAGAGAAAGGAGCTTTTTGAGTAAGTCCGCTAGACCCGAGCGGGTCTGACAATGTAGAAGAGCGACGGTCCTTGCAGTCATGGGTCTCTTGGCCTTTGATACGAGAGACAGCGACGTAGTACCAACGTTCTCAATCAATATCAGTGAGAAAAAATAACAAAGGAGACAATACGGCTGGTGACTCACCTTTGCATTTGTTTGTAGTTTGATCTATTATGGCTTTTGTTGAGGTGATTTTTCCGAATCTGTGAACAATGAAAGAAAAGAATTCTTTGTGATCTGGGAAATCTTTGAGATAAGGGGAAACAACGAAAGGCCTACTGGATGTTTTCCGCAAGTGTCATGGGTGCGTGCAGGGGAGGACTTATACATATACACAAACGCATAAATTATATAAATACACATACTACATATTATATAAACGTAGATGCTGAGTTGGCCCTGTCTATCAATCTATGGGTGCTGTAAGTGTCAACATGTGCAATGCTTATGGCTGCCTGCCAGTTCGCTCTAGTGTTCAGTTCTAGCTTGGAGCCACTGACCACTATATATCGCACTAGAAACAGGCAATGAATGAAACACGAGACAACACAGGGTAAGGAGAGGCGTACGACCTCCACCCACGCCACTCCATCCACAGGTGCACAGTTTGCAATTTGATGGGAAGACAATGAGGGCACAGGTGCTATTTTTACCTCTCCCTCCCTCCCCCCTCC